AAGGTGAAAGACTTGGCTTTGAGAAGAGAGCCCCAGAGCACCACGTTCCAGAATGGCAGCAGCCTAGGGAAGCTGCTCCTCAGGATTGGGTTCAGAGTGCTCAGCGATCCAGGCACTCGACCCCTGCAGCCAAGAGGGAAGCCTGGCTACTGCTCCAGCGGGCACAGACCTCAGCGTCATCCACATGGTGTTAACTTCAGGTGCATGAAGAATGCAAGAGTTGTGGGGTCAGGAAGGTTTCCACCCAGATCTCAGAAGGAGGCCAGAGAGGCCCGGCAGGGTGCCCCTGAGAAGGCCATGTGTGATGCCGTGAGTGTGAAGCCGAAGGTGCAGTGGAGACCCCAGAAGTTTGGAGAAGCCAGGAGTGTGGATCCTCTGAGGAAAGCTGCCAGGAGGGAGCAGAGCTGGCCCCAGAGAGAAGCCTTGGAGCAGTGAGGGGCAGAGCCATCCATTGCTTTGGATGCTGGACATGGAACTACAGGACTTAATGTTTGCCCGGCTGGGTTCTAGACTTGTGCGCCCCCATTCCTTTGTATCTCTCTATTTGTACCTTCTGGAATGGAAATGTGTGCTTGTGCCATTGAATGTCAGAAATGTTTCACTTTCTTTTCATTTCTGCAGGGGCTCACGGGTAAGAGTGTGCTTTACATCTCAGGGAAGACTTTGGACTTGGACTTTGCTGCAATGCTGAAAGTGTTGGGACTTTGGCAACTCTTAGAGACAGACTAAATGCCTTTTGTATAAAGGGATGTGTATGAGTCTTGGGGGTCCAGGAGTGGGATGTTACAGCTTGCATCTAGATGTCCTCCTAAAGCCTCGTGTGGTCATAAGTGATGCTTTTTCAGGAGTGGCTGGATCTAGAGTGTGTGATTGATTCATGGTACAATGTTAGGCTTAAGGGTGCTAAGATTAAGGGTGGGTGATTACTAAATCGGTCCACTGACTGATTTGGCACCTCCCTAATCCTGGTAGCCAGGAGACAATATAAGGGACAAAAAGAGGCTTGTCTTGTCCCTTGCTTGCTTTGCTGCCTTCTGCCTGCCATGAACTGTTTCTCCTCTGCAAAGTCTGCTGTGCCACCCTGCCTTGCAGCAAGTAGATTATGGACTGAAACCTCTACAAGTTGTGAGCTAAATAAACCTTTCCTCCCTTAACTTGTGAGTTTTTGGGTCTTTTGTCTCAGCAATGAGAAAAGTAACTAAGACAAGGGGAGTTGAGCTTCATGGGGGTTCAGGATGTGCTGTCCCAAACAGAGCCCTTTGTCATCTGAGGAAGCCACAGATGAAGGAAGGTGGCTGTCATCTTCCTCTCATCCTTCTCCCCTAAAGTAGGCTAGACGCTGATGCTTACTGCCGAGCATGGATGCCCAGAAGGCGCCCGGCAAGGTCCCCTCGTTCAGCACCACTGGGTCAGGACCCCTGGATGCAGTTATGCTAGTACAGCCCTGCCTTTCTTTTCAGAATTGTCACGAACAGGCACAGGGCTTCCCGTCACTCCTGTGGGACTTACCTTGAGCAAATTTGCTTACTTCGCTCCTGTTCATGTCTTTTATTACAGGTGCATCAGCCATGAACCAGGTAGTGAGTGAGGGAAGAATATTACTCTTTCTGGGCCCTCTATGTATTCAGTATTGGCAGAAATATAAACAGATACATCATTTAATGGAAAATAAATTGTATAATCCTTGCAGAATATATCAACATTCAAAATGTTTATGCCCTCTTATTTAGCAATTGCACTTCTTAAGAAATAATTACTCAAGTATGAAAATACAGATGCAGACAGGTACTTGCTACTGCAGTATTCCTATTTCCTAAGAGTGAAAAAATCAACAAGATCCCACTTAAGGGTTGTATTCATGAGATTTCCCATTGCTGGGGCAGAAAACCTGACACCTGAACATTACCACGTAGAGAGGTTTAGTTTGGCTCACGGTGAGCAGCTCCAAGGCTGGAGCATCATAGCAGGAGGGCATAGTAGAGCAAAGATGCTCACTGTTCATGAGGGCTGGAAGCAGAGGGAAAGCCACAGAAGAGACTAAGGGTCAGGTACATTCTCCCAGGTCACAGCCCATGACCCACCAGACACACCGAGAAATGTGCTTTACTCATCTGCTTGGCTTCTCCCAAGCCAATCAAGTTACCAGTCAAGTCTGAGCATCACGAACACAGATGGGTAAAATGTTGACTCCTAACAGCAGCATCCCGTAGATCAGTCTGTATTTATTGACATGGAGAGATGGTCACAGAACATGGTGGAATAAACAAAAAATTTTAAAAATTAGTGCAAGTGTGGAATGCTCCTGTTAAGAAAGCTAGGTGACTTTTAATGAAGGTGCTCTCTAAAGGTGATATCCCAAGTCAGAGGCTTTGCTGCTGTATCTCTGGTGCCTCAGTTGGTGTCTGGTAGTTTGTAATTGTGCTATCATGTTTGCTGAATTAATAAGTGAAAGACATTTAGAAAATTCTTCACTGAAGTTCAACAGTGGTGGAGTGCAAGCTATTTTTCTTTGTTCTTTGTATTTTTCTGTCACTGAAATTATCTTAAGGATGCTTGGTTTTTACAAAATCGAATATTTTAAAATGTAGCAATGCTTAGTGTCTGTGAGAGATGTGGGATTCCCAGCTATTCCAGTGGCTGATTCTACTCCTTCAGGAAATAATTTGACAAGAAATATTCAAAAACCACAAAACACTTTCTTCCTTTTCTATTATTTCTGCATGGAAATTCATGCTAAGAAAAAAACCTTCAAAATGTAAAATGATTTCTGCATTCAAAGGTCTTCACAGTAGGAAAATAAAAACAGTGGCTCACCCGAGGTCCCTCCTAATGGAGGGAATGATATAAACGATGCGCTCGGTTGTCAGATAGGACTTCGTGCCGCCATTCTGGTTCCCAAGCCCCTGCACCCGCCCGGCGAAGGCCCGGAAGACCATGGCGAGGGTGACGACGCTGAGGTCGAAGCTGTGGAAGAGGGGGCTCCCGGGGCCACCGAGGGGCTTTGTCTGGCCCAACACGTGGCCGTTGTCGTGTGGCCGAGGCCGATGGTGCCCGCGTTTTCCGGTCTACAAAACGGCTGAGGTGCTACTTCCCAGCTCCGAGAGAATTAAAGTAGGGGGCTTTGCCAACTGGGGGCTGCTTTTGTCGTTATCATTACGCTTATTGTATTTCAACGTTTTAAAAGCTTGCCCGCTCCTATGAACCACTGACGCAACAAGTGAGAAACAGCTACAAGTAGACTCTAGCGCTCCGACCCGAAGTCGGTCGCTCTCGGGCGAGGCAAAACCGCCGGGGGCCGCACGGGGGCGCAGGCA